CACTTATGCGTGTGAACAACTTTTTAGTCGCATGAAGTACATCAAATCACAAGTGAGAACACGAATTACTGATGTTCATTTGGAAAACTGTTTGCGTGTAGCGACAACATTAGTCGAGATCAATTTTGATGCACTTAGTTCTGTAAAACAAAGTCAGATGTCTCATTTTTAAATATTTTTTAATTGTCTAATAAATATGTTTCTCGGTTATTGAATAAGTGATTCTCAATTATGTTTAATTTTCTTCAAAAAAAATAAATATACCTATTTTTTTGTGTTTATTTACATTAAACCAGGCAAGTGTTTGACCACGATCTCACCTACTGGAAAGCAACGATGTGGTTGAAGCTGTAGCACGCTTGCTTGTTTACTTAAATTAACAAAAAAATTAGGTGCGTGGCCCGGCAAGAAATATTGTTTCTGAAATTTGGCCCGCCTGCTAAAAAGGTTGGCCACCCCTGGCATAGAGCCTTTACTACATGAAAATGAAAATTAATTAATACACTGTGTACAGTAATTTACCTGATAAGACAGACCTCAGAAAAATACTTTATGAGGCATAAAGCTGTCTATAATGAAAATTAATTAACTAAGGATTTTTTTGCCCTGCAGGGTGTGGCCGAGTTATCCGGAGAGCCGAGTTTTCGAGGTTCTACTGTATTACAATTAATATGTATTTATTTTTTAAAAGATACAAAAAAATGGCGCTTTCACCGCTTCCAATGACGGCACGCCACAGCATTAAATATTATAAATTATAAATTAAACTAAAATTTGAAAACTATTATTTTTAAATCAAAATATAATTAATACTAACAATGTTTACATATTAACTAAAAACATCATTGAAAATTACTTTTTTTCAGAGTGGTAGTATTAATCATTTTTATGTGTCCTTTAGTCCAGATTAAAGATCAGACTATGCTCTTAAATAAAAAACCAACTCTGTGCTTTAAAAACAAATAGCCTAATACAGAATTATACTATTTATCTTTTCAAACAGAGTTTAAATAGTTTAAGTCAGATTATATAGGACCGTCTTAATATTAATATGTTGAATTAAGTGTTAATTAATAAGAATAAAGTATATCAGTGCAATGCAAAAGATATTACACATACTGTATATCATATTTTAAAAATAACGATATGTATCACTGTACTTTAGATTTAAATTCCGACATTCATTACTGGACGGCGAGATAAAGACGAAATGTAATTTCGGAAAAAAATCAAAGACGATTTATGGACGAAACGGTACACTTTTAAGAAATTCGTAGAAGTAAAACGTTCCAGACGGACTTGAAATAAAAGTTTTAAAATTTGAGAAGCTGCTTCGTAAATAAATGGTTTAGAGCTGTAAAACACCAGCTCTAAACGTGCAGAATTTTTAATAAAAGCCGAACGTCAACAATGGAAAAGCTTATGCTTGTTGCCGACAATCTATAATGCAACAATGAAAATTTTATGCTTGTTGCTTAAATCTATAATGCAACAGGACATCCGAGCCACTTTGCTCGGTGAGGGAGGGTTTCCCGGGACAACTGCCTGCTCGTTGGGCGGATCCGGCGCCCTGCGCTGAACCCGCAGTTGGTCGATTACATCCGGATTTAAGATACGGATTCCGGTTCCGCCCTGCAGGCCCCTTTGGTAGCAGGGCCGCTCTCCGGGGCATATCCCGTTCTTGAGCCGCCCTACGGGCCCCCTTTGGGATTTTCGCTTTATCGGCGGCCCTGGGGCCCACTGGGACGTCCCGTTGGAAGAACCCCTTCGACCACAAATAAACCAAAAATAGAAATAACACAAACACAAACGATGCACCGGACTGTGTTATAGTCCGTAGTTTCATTTTTTTTACACATATACACGCTTCTTGCAGTTGTCAACCAATTTTTTTGGTCGACAACAATGTAACCCCTTTCCAACCCCCTAAAATCCCCATTTTTATTGTAAACATCGTCATTTAACCTTTAACAATGCCAACGACAATGTATATCGTAACAATGATAGAAATTGCTTAACAACAATAAAAAGACTAAATTGATTCTCCTGTTTTACACAAATATATTTATTTATTTTTTCATTTTCGTGGCCAAATTATGCAAATATTATTACTGTCGACTTCATTCTTTTCATCATTTCTATGAAACCTTACTCTATTCGTTACTTAGGCTATATAAAGTTTTTTTATATAACAGCGTTGACTGAAAATTCGTATATACATTTTTCGCATAACACACACGGCATTTATAATTTAGGTAACGTCTACCCCGAAATATTACAGGACATATTTCATTAACATGCTACTATTAAACAAAATTGAAACTCTATAAAGTTATTGAAAAAACTTGAAAATCAAAATGCGTGGTTCGTCAAGAACTGCTTCGCTTCTCAAACGGTTTTAGGATATTTTAAACTTTCCTATAGTTTATAAAAGTTTTCGTTACGTTAATATAACTTATATATTGATTGTGGTGATTACTCTTCTATCGCCTACTTTTTTTAGATTGTGTTTCGGCAATTGCGACTCTACTAACCCCGCATTTTACTTGTATTCTAAATAGGCAATATTTCTCTCTCCGATGTTAGACCGGTCGTGGCGGTCGCGTTACATTGTTCTTTTTTTTTTTCAGTGATGACGTGCTTTCACACATCATATATTAACATTAAATTTTCGTAGACTTACATCACGTTATAGAAATACTAGCAGACCCCGCCGCGCGATGTTGTGGCTCAAAATGTGTCTATTATAAATGTATATCACTTCCCCCGTGGGGGGGAAATTTTCGAAAAATCCTTCTTAGTGTACATTTTCTCGACGTACTCTATTAAAACGTAATCAAAAACGCAAAAAACCGCATCTAAAATAGTATAAGTAGAAGCAGAGTTCTTTACGGTAACCCTTAATCCTAACCATCTTCAGGGGGAGAATTTCGACACGTATATTATGTAAAAACACGTGCGTATTCGAATGCAGCGTTTTGTCAAAATTTCAAAGGAATCGGTAGGAACAAACGAACATTACATTTTTATTTATATAGATAGATAGAAGATGATCTTCTTTAGTTCATTTTCACAGAAAAGCGTAATGCCTCTCAGAAAAGCAAACTTAGGGCGCCGTTCTCGTAGTGCCATTTTTTGGACATAAGAGCCTTAACCTAGATTATATCTCTTAATTTATATGAACGTTTAATGGAAGAATATACAGCCTATGTCCACCCTGAAGTTCCATTCTAAATATTGGTGAAAGAATTTTTGAAATCGGATGAGTAGTTTCGGAGATTACTCGGTGCATCCAAACTTACTTACTTACAAACATTACCTCTTTATAATATTAGTATGGATTAATTGTTATATTTATTTAATTGTTCAATTATTTTTACTACAATGTATAAAGCAAGGTGATTGGATATTTTTTAATTTAACCTCGAACGGACCACCGATGTTCTCTGCGCACTTAATGTTCTGTTAATCAATTAACTGGTTTGGTGTGTTATTCTGTAATCCGAGTAGGAGCTACCGTGTAATTTTGTTTCAAGATAAACTTTTAATTTGTACAAAAAATAATTGCAAAAATCTACTAACAGTCTACATTTCCCCTAGCCGGTTTTAAGAACAGCCTATAGACGTTGGCTGGCTTAATCGCGGTTTAAAATGCGTTGTAAAGACGACGATCGTCTATTTCTGACCGTTCTCTAAACGAACTTCAGTAAAACATTAGCTCTTACTTACTTCGCTATTACTCCCCTATTTTAGGAGTTGTATGGCCAATCGGGTTATTCATTTGTGACGTCAGAAATGGTTGCCAGCTATATTCGGAAAGCTTTTAGAAATACAGGTAACCCCCGTATAACACGGTACTTTTATAGCACGGATTCACTCTGACACGGTTCGAGAAATGGGTAAAACCCGCGTACAACAGGAAATGTAATAAATTTTTACATACTTAAGTAATAATAGTTCACGAAAATTATTATTTTCGTGAACTATTAGTACTTAAGTATGTAAATTTTCTCTTCTCGCCTTCTGTCGATACATGTGGTCCTTCTCGAAACTTGTTTTAATGTTGCCAGATCGCGACACTTCTGCTTCTGATGTTGCCGAATGTTTTCCCCTTATTCCATACTTGCTTTATTCTTCATAAGTGCTTAGCACCATATAAGGAAATTTATAAAG